TGTCAACACGACCGAGGGGTGCAATTCCTAAAGTGGAGTTGACTGGATAAAGATCATGGACTTTCACATTAAGCTGGAATTAGGATGGGATAACTTCAGACCAGCATCCCAGGGTGCCATCAATTCCACTGAGACCTTGCCAAGGTTAGAGGTCAGCAAATCTATACCCCATCCAAATGTGCAAGGTATAAAAGAACCAGCTTTTTGTTTTATCCCAATACCACAAAAAAAAAACCAAAAAACAAAAACAAACAAACAAACAAAAAACAAAACAGGTATGAAGACACTCTCAGGAAGCAAGAAATCTGTGCTCACAACGGCCTGTCAGAGACAGGAAGTCTGGTAAAGAATTGAAGTCCTTGCTGGATGCCACTGAAGCCGATAAATACAATCTCAAAATAAACACAAATCCGTTAAGACTAGAATTTTATGTAATTATCTTTCTTCTTCTGTTTTTCTAAACAGTCCTATCTTTTATGCTCATTTTCCGCACAGAATGAAAAGTGTATAAGATTCAAGGAAAATAAATAAATTGAGATTTTTCCTACAATTCAGCAAGTGCAATCGTGGTGGGAGTTCAGGGGGCTCTTGGCAGGGGAAGGGAGGGAAGGGACAACAGTTTGTGCGAGCCTGGCAGACCCCCAAGGACTCGGAGAGCATTCCCAAAGCCTGTCCATCCCCTCTGGAGACCGTGTGGGCATGACACGAGGGAGCTCTGCGCTGCAGTCAGTGACTCGGGGTTCTGAGCAGGACACTGGCCTGACACTGCTCTAGAGCAGCAAAGCCCCCTGGCTGTCAGCCCCATCATTTGTACAATAGACGGCTGCATCCAAAGCACTGTGGGAGTCACAGAGCACCCGTCCCCTGCTTTGAGGCTTCAAACAAAGAGTCCTTGTACATCCCTGATGTCCTAAAAAGCAGGTGTCCATGAAAAAGCCAGATAGAACAGGTTCCCCAAACCTCCTGGTTGGACGACCACAGGAATGAGTGGAATGCTGTGATGGGCCAGTTTTATGAGATGCATGGATTCCACACTTATGAGATGAGGGCCTAGGAGGCCTCCCTGGAGGAGGGTGTGCAGAGTTTTGGGTCCCTGGAGGAGGGAGCTCGGGGACTGACTAGCTGGCCTCATTCCCCAGGGAGAAGAGCGTACTCCCAAAGGTCACTTAGCTAGCCACAGGTCAGGTCCAATACCCACTGTGGATAGGCACAGGGGCTCAGGCAGCAAGAGCCAGTGCTTTCCACCATCTGTGGCCCAGCTAGTGAAGAACCAACCCCTCATTGCTATAGAGACCCTTAAACGGGCTGGAGTGAACAGAAGGAAGGGTGGTCTCTCTTCCTGGAAGTCGAGGGGGGCAGGAGTCCTGATTCTTACACTCTGGAGTCAAAACACAATGTTGACAAAATGAGACCACATGTGTGGCATCCCCTGCCCAGGAAGAAGGGATGGCAAGCCATGGCTGCTCCTAGGCAGGTCCTGGGCACCACCACACTACACTGCAGGGAGACCAGAGAGGAACACCTCAGGTATGAATGCTGAGCCAACGCAGTAAGTGCATCTGAAAGTCCCTGGTGGAGAAACACCAAGTAAACAAGAGCCTACTGAGTACAGTCAGCACCTTCCAGCGTGGCTGGAGCTCTAGCTGGGAGCATAGCGCGCAGCCCGGGGGACTCAGACACACATTTGCTGTCATTCTCTCTCCTGCTTTACCCCAGGATGAGGAAAATGGAGAATGCCAGAATAAGGACTCGGCTGGGTTCCACACTGGCAGCCACTGACCTCCACGTCTCAGATCTTCTCGGAGTGTCTGATAACACCCCTTTCCCATTCCCTCAGCATCAACAACTGCTCCCCGAGGCTTTCATAATCCGCAGCCAAGGTCCAAGGCAAGCAGGCAGCACACCTGCCTTCACCAAGGGCGGACCTTGGTGGCTGCTAATGAAACCCGATTCCCAGCCTTCTTTAGGTTACTCCAACTAGAGGTCTGTTCTCCGGCCTTTCCTCTACTCAGACGCGCCAGGTGACCCAGTTCTATCAACAGGAAGTGACGATAAGCTTTGAGGGGACTTTCAAAAAGCTTTCCTGACCATAGGGACACAAGCACTTGCAATCCACCTCTTCCTCTTCCTCCCTTCAATATGGACGCTATGGCCTCGATCACAAGGCAGCCAAGCATGAGAATAAAAAGGCAAGTCACAGAGCACAGAACACTAAGACAGTGGGGGAGGGGGCAGGCTTTCCATAACCACAGTCCAGCTGCCAGGCAATGCCTGAAAAACCGACATCAGCACACGGCCTGCTGTGAGAGAGGCGAGCAACAAGAACTAGGCCTTGACTCGGGGTGACTGCTGGAGCACAGCACTCAGTCACATGCAGTGACTCGATCACCTGGTCACTAAGCAGCAGCTGTCACATCTGTCACAGGCTGTCACCATCCCCCAAACTGCCTCAAGGTCCCACTCAGCATGGCTGTACTTACACTGGACAGGGTAGGCCACTCAGGAAGGAGCACCAAGGTGTGCCCCAGGCTCACCAGAAAGAACCGGCTAGGACCAAACATCTACAAGATGGTTGGAAGCAGGGCAGGGATCTAGACAGGGTTCTGGGGTTCAGATGTGAGTGACAATGCTATGTGAAGGCATTCTCCTGCATTTTGGGGAATCTCAGTGCTACAGAGGGGTTCAGCAGCAACGTGTTCTGAGGGGTAGGAGTGTTTAGGTATGCTCTGACACAGTTCCTCTGGAGACCGAGGCAGAATGCGCTCAAATTCAAGGCCTATCTGGGCTCCAGAGTGGATTCCAGGGGAACTTGGGAAATTTAATAAGATCTATGTCAAGAGGAGTAAAAGGGCTGGAAGTGCAGTTCTGTGGTAAAGTGTTTGCTTAGCGTGAGCAACGCCCTGGTGCGATCCTCAGCATCTCGGAGAACAAGTGCCCAGCCCTGTACCCAGGGAGGCTCATCTCAGGACTGCTCATCAAAGAGGGGCTGTAGGCTGGCCTGGGGCAGCTGCATTTGCCCTGGAGACAGCGTAGTCAGGGCAGCTCTGGGACAATGGTCACCCAGGTCCTGGGACATCACCGTGCTCCCTGCCAGAGACTCAGTGTCCCATCCTCCATGCCCCACGCCCTCAGGGTAGGAGGTCTTGCTTGCAGCAGGCCTGACTGAGCATGGGCCACTGTCTCTGACTCCATGACCGCATTCCCTATCAGAACCAAGGAACAAAGCCAAGCCAAGCCGGCAGTTCAGAGGGCTGTGGGGGCCTCAGGCCACATACATGCGAGCCTGACTTTACCCAGTAAGATGCTCATAATCCACTCGGTCCCACGAGAAGTCACAGCGATTCTTGGCTGAGGTCTCAGGTCCCATCTGAGATCTGCATAACTATTCCAAGAACAACAGCATAGGGACAGTCTGGCCCACGGGTTTCCTCCAAATCATGTGCCCAGCACACACAACCCTGTATGCACATCCATGTGAAGGAGTCCGTTGTGGCTCCACGCATTCCCATCCTGGGGCCTGCCATCTCATCACCCCACTGGCATCTTGGGGACCACAGCTGCTTACCTGGGACTTTCACCTTCCCGTTGGTCAGCTTGGTGAGCTCCTGCCAGGGAAACTGCTCTGGCCAGTTGGCGAACAGTCCCAGCTTTTGGGCCCAATGTAAAGTCCCCCCTGGGAGAGCCTAGTGAACACGCAGTGATACAACAGCCCATTTCACAAGGCCTCAAAGCTTAGCCGTAGAGGCAATCACAGGCTCTGCACAGGCCAAGCACCCTCTCCGGTGTCTCCTGCACACTCCACTCTAGGCCTCTCCACTGTGAGGCAGCCTTTCTCATCGGGGATGTTCCGCAGAGACGGTCACGGGTGAGGAGGGAGGTGGTGCCAAGGGCCTCTGGACCAGGATGACTCTAGTAGATCTACAGTAGGTGTGTCTTTGACAAGCTCACGAAGTGGACTTTTTCTAAAGCAACCTCAGGGGGCACTAGCTGGGTGTGACATGTGAGTCTGTGGCTCTGCTGGAGTGGCACAGCAGCAGTTTGTATTCTTAGACCACATTCGCTTAGACCAGTCACTTCACACGCTAGAAGGATGTTCCTAGGAAGCGGGACAGTGCTTTGAATAGTAGCTTCACTTTTTTTAATAACTGAAAGATTGTAAATTACTGCAGAAGTTCCCTGAATTGAAACTGATACATGGAAGAAATTAAATGAGGCCTGAGCTTCCTTGGGGCTGAGCCAGGCAGAGAGAAAAATCTAATTATTTCTTCTAGAATGAAATATTTCCTGACTCGCCTCTGAATGACATGATCCTATCTGTGAGGCTGGAGCTAATGGCCCGCACCCCTGCTGCTCATCTGTGGGATAAACCGTACGGCCAGCACGCTGCGCTCATACTGCCACAGGACCAGAACCCTGACCCGATGTCTCAGTCCATCACCACCGTTTCCAGGCCAAGCAGTAAACCCTGTGTGGTTGGGGGAGGGGACGGTGCTTGTTCCATGCTAAAGTAAGTCTGGGCTCTGTACATGTTGGGCTTCTTAACTTAAGAGGCCATAAGCAGAAGTGACCTTTCAACCAATCTATGTGTAGTTTATGAAGACACGAGACCAGAAGAAAATACAGCAGTTTTGTGCAAAAGCAGAGAATTAAAAAACAAATGATGATACTTTGAGACTCATATGCCTTTCAGCAGTCCTGATAAGACCACGAGTCTGTGCAGGTTAGATCACATGTGAGTGCAAGTTAGACCACATGTGAGTGCAGGTTAGACCACGTGTCTGTGCAGGTTAGACCACATGGGAGTGTATCCCCTGCTTTGGGGACCCTCTGCTTCCTGTGACCTCAGCAATCAAACCACACAGTTCAGTCAGAGTTGGGGCACAGAGAGGGAGTCTTCCATGTTCCCATGGGGGCACAGAATGGTGACCCCCACATTCCTAAGGGGGGGTCTAGAGGGCAGACTGCATTCCTGCAGGAGGGGGTGTCATGGGGACCCTTACCTAGCCGATTGCAGGGGTTCCGCTTGAAGAGGGCCCTCAGCAGGCTCTGCGCCTCCATGCTGAGGAACTGTGGCATGCCCAGCTTGGCTCTGGAAGACAGAATGGAATGCAGGTGAGAAGGCGGGGGCAAAGATAAGTGCAGTCTCCAGTTCATCCGGCCACTCTGCTTGCAGGGAACAGACCCCCAGACACGGAGCAGCAGTGCCTGCACTCTGGTCCGAGCACCCCGTCTTGCCTTAAAACTACATGAAGACACCAAAGAGCTTCAGCGTGTGTGGCTTGTAGCTGGCTGTTGACCATATTCAACATTAAAAGTGTGAATTTTTCACAACTGCTACTTAACAGTCCATTTGGACGACCAAAGCAGCAATAGTGATTCCCTGAGCACCAACAACATGTTCAACGGAAATTGTTTTTCAAAACAGAGTTGTCCTAATACAAAGTTCCTCTGAGCAAGAGAGGTTACTAGTGGTTTAAGTTTGGTGAGTTCCTTCCCGGCACCCTGGGAACAGTGGGTCTCTTATCTTCCCTGGCAAAGGCTGCTGTAGAACTATGGAGAATGTCCGAGAAAGAAACATCCCAAAGGGAAGACTGGACCCTGGAGTCCTTGGACCTTACTCAGGACCAGGCACTGAGCGTGGGCTGACCTGCAGCCTGAACAGGCATGGGCCCATGTGGGTTTGCTGGGGTAGCTCCAGCTTCCATCAAAAGTAAATCAAGTTCCCATTAAAAGCCAGGGAACAGGGTGTCCCCACAAGAACACAGGTACAGCTATGGCAGCTACCCCGTGGTCACCGCGGATCAAGTGCTGCCCTGGAGGAGCCACAGGGGGATTCTGAATATGCAAGGCTTTGGGGTGTGCCCTCGCAAAGAGTTTCCTCCATCCCCCTTTTATCCCGTGTATACGGGAGGAAGCTACAAAGGTGTGGCTTGCAATGTTTGGCTCCTCCCAAGTCTAGCAATGTCCTTTTATGCCAGTATTCTGGTGGTGGTCACAAGGACAGCGCTATGACTTTCCCACGGAACCCTGGCTGATTCGGGGTTCCCGTCTCCCCACCTCTTGCTCTTCTCTGATGCTCATGCCCAGCTCATCTAGGACTTTACGGCAGATGGCCAAGGGTTAGCCAGTGGTCTGACCACCTCTTCTGTGGTCCTGAGAGCACCCCTGCATCCAAACGATGCCAACTCCAGTCCCGGGGCAGGGTATAGGTAACCATGTGCAGGGTCAGCAGGAAGAGTGGAAGCCTTGCACCTGTGCCCTCTCTGGAATGCCTCAAGTTCTCAAGCCACCTGGAAGTTCACTGTTTCCCTATCTGGAAGCCAGCACTGAACACTCTACGTGAGTTTATCTCGTCTAAGTCTGAAAGTTCATCAGAATTCCCCAGTGGATATTCCAGGACAGCCAAGGTTCCCACGCACAGCCGGCTACACTCCATCCATGGTGATTAGGAGAGAGCAGACGGCTCCTCCCCAACACCACGGCTCCCACTAGAACCCAGCAGCCCACTTCCTCCTCAGCTACAGACACAAAAGCCCAAGGCTCTGCTCCGCGTGGAGTTCTGAGCCGTGGAGTAGGTCCCCACACTCACTTGAGGATGAGGGCCATTGTTTCCTTCCTGTCCTTCCCCTGGAATGGCAGGGACCCTGTGAGCATCTCGAACTGCAGAGAGAGAAAAACAGAGCAGATGAGCTTGTTCTTTCACCTCCAACCCCATCAGCCAGGGCGACAGCAGCCACACGGAGAGGCACTGGGGACCTTGGCCGCCAGGTTCCCCTTCGTGAAAGATGACCACGGTGAATGATTTACATGTGGTGTAGGGACTCCCTTTCCCTGGTGGGTGCTGAGGAGAGCTGCGGCAGGAGAGGGGTCAGAAGAGGAAGAGGAAGGCCAGGGGAAGGAGGAGGAGGAGCGGGAGGGAGACCACTCACACTGACCCCTGCTATATCTTTATCTGTGATGGGGACGATCCTGGGTACAGCCCATTAATAACATCAGATGGGGACAACATGGACCAGTGATCTCTCACACAGACTCCCACACATGAAAACGCACTGGCCAGGAAGGGAGTTGATATAAGGCGAGGCCTGAGGGCAGCCCTTGCTGATCATGAGTTTCTTATTCACAAAAACAGTATTGATTCTGTGGGCTCCAGAGGCTGAGGCCTGGATCTTATAGTCACCATAACTACCACCTCCTCCACCACCTCCACCACCACCTCTATCACCACCACCACCTCCACCACACACCTCCATCACCACCTCTATCACCTCCACCTCCATCACCACCACCTCCATCACCTCCACCACCACTACCTCCACCTCCACCACACACCTCCATCACCACCACCTCCACCACCTCTATCACCTCCACCTCCATCACCTCCACCACCACCTCCACCACCACTACTTCCTCCATCACCTCCACCACCACCTCCATCACCTCCACCACCTTCACCACCTCTATCACCTCCACCTCCATCACCACCACCTCCATCACCTCCACCACCACCTCCACCTCTATCACCTCCACCTCCATCACCACCACCTCCATCACCTCCACCACCACCTCCACCTCCATCACCTCCACCACCTCCATCACCTCCACCACCCCCACACCCCCAGCATTGCTGTTGTGAGAGAGGTGAAGGCAGCATCAGCAAACCCCTGTCATAAACATGAGATAGCAATGTTCACAGAAATGTGTGACAGCGCCCACTGTGAGCACCTTTCGCTTCTATCTACATGAGGAGGCAGCAGCCTGGCTGGAAGTCTTTAATCGGTCACATTAAGCCTGCGTGTCTTGATATTTTCCCTGCACCTGCCTCTGTCCCTTAACAGCGTATGGTCCAGTGTCTTTGCTTTGCATTGTGAAAACCCTGGGAGACACAAGTACAAAGACCCAAGCAGTTGGCCTAATGCCATCATTTAAAGACACCCACTGCACTGACCTCCTACTATGTACAACTGATCATGACATAAAACATCTGTCACACCATGTTATATGTGGATGAGCCAACATTAAACAAAGTACCTACTGTTGAGTACTGAGGATGTCACCAGTAGATCCTACTAACAGAATACATTAGACCAGTGGTTCTCAACCTGGGGGCCAAGTGACCCTTCACAAGGATCGTATATCAGATATCCCGCATATCAGATATTTACATTACACTTCATAACAGTAGCAAAATTACAGTTATGCAGTAGCAACAAAATAACTTTATGGTTGGAGGATACCACAGCCTGAGGAACTAATTAAAGGTTCGCAGCGTTGGGAAGGTTGAGAACCATTCCACTCAACTGAAATGTACCTAAGCGTTACCTGAACTTCAGGTGTGATAACACATTAACTTTTCTCATTGCTGTAAAAAACAAAATCAACTCAAGGAAAGCAGAGTTCACAGGCAGCCAAGGTTGGCATGGAAGGTAGGAGGCAGGGGCATGAAACGCTGCTCACACTGTATCCACAGTCAGGAAGCAGAAAGAGGTAGATGGTGGTGCTTAGCGGGCTTCTTATTCTCTCCCCCTCCAGTCTGTGGATGGTGCTGTCCGTATCTGTGGTGGGTCCTCCTCAGCTAAGCCTCCCTGAAAATGCCCCCACAAACACATCCAGAAGTGTGTCTCCTAGGTGGCTCTGAACCCAGCTGAGGCGATAATGAAGGGCAACCAGCACTGACAGGCTATCAGAGTGAAGTTATAAACTTAGAGAGATAAGGTTACAGTCTTTAATCTTCTCCACGAGTGTTTGACAGTTTCACACATTTACATATGGGTCTTAGTCATTCCACTTCCCACGTAAACATGTCATGAGCGTGGGAGCGAGACTGGCTGGAGAGGAGGGTTTCAGTGGAAGAGGGATGGTTACAATTTATTGTTGGTCTTCTTTTTGTAAACCCACTTTTAGAGGACTGAACAAGCCCCTGCCAGTGCAGGTATCTGAAGATCACCCTGTTACACTGAACTCACTGCCCGTCTGCAGACAGAGTGCCAGGCTGCAGGCAATAAGCAAACGTATACGCAATAAAAGGCGGGAGCAACGGAGTCCAGATGAGAGTTTAAAAATAGACAAACGTAATTAAAACGGAAGGCTGGACGCTCTGACGCGGAGATGAGCGACTCGACTGATGAACAGGATGAGCATTCATAAGCTGATTATAGAACTTACCGTCTCAAAATAGGCTGCGGTGAGGGGAACCTTGCTGTTTGGTTCTTCCTTTGAGTCTATTCATGGCGCTCATGAATCCCCATTTCCAAGAAAGAGCCTGTGACTACACAGAACGAGAAGGATTCTTCCCACCTGCGGCCATTTAATCCTTACTGCAGAAATGGAGCCCCCCTCCCTGTCCGGGTGCCTCGGTGCTGATTGGCGCCCCAGAACAATGTGTGGCAACATCCATTTAGCGATTTCTTCCTGGCTTTCACTGGTGGCTGTAACAGAGTCCACGCTCTCTGCCCATTCCTCCGCTTTCCCTCTCTCCCTTCATGTGCTTCATTTCTAGGTCTGCATGGCAGAGACCCACACAGGGGCACACAGCGATGCTCGCTAAGTACCTCTTCTTGATGATGTGTGACAGTGATGAGACCTCTGCTTTGGAAGCCTCTCTGGCTTCATCTCCAGACCCTAAGAGCCTGCAGAAAGGGGATCATTTCTGGGTGATGCTCAGGAAATATCTGTCCTTTATGTCTCGGCTCGGGGCCTGGTACACGGCTTCCCCCGATGAGACCTGTGCCCTGGTTTTAGAAGCCACCACGGCTCTTGAGCGAAGTGACAGCAGCCAAGATTCCCTTGGCTCCCACGGGAAGCACACACGCATGGGTGACACTCCAGGTGGCTTCATGAGATACTGATGAGCTTTACGATGCTCCCAGGATGACAAACGGTACTCCCCAGCTGCAGTCCTCAGACCCCAGGAACTGGTTCCAAAGTCAGCAGTTTAAATTGCCATGGATCTGGGCACTGGTGCCGCCTGCACCTAGTCTGAGGAGGTCTAGTCTGAGGAGGTGGGTAGCTAGCTAAGGTGGTCTTGGCTCAAGGGAGTCTGAGGAACCCAAGGTCGTGGCCAGCTGGAGAAAGGTGTGAACACACTTTCTCCTGCAGCCTCCTGGTAGTTGCCATGAGAAGATTCTCTGGAAGGGGGGTCTTCACAGGAGTCTACATCCAAATTCCCTTGGTGGATCAACATTCTTAAAAAGAAACCACAGTTTGATCTGAAAACTCTCCTAAGCCACAGAGACCTGAAATAGCAGTAGACCCAGTGTAGGGTGTCTGGCCACAGGAGCTCCTGTGTCGGGGAGGGGCCTGGGCTCACAGGGGCCGGGTTGCTGACCTAGCAGTTCCCAACCACACTTCACCCCAGGACAGGGCATCCCCAGTGCATCCACTTGGGTCTTTTCTCTGACAGTCCACAGATCACCCAGGCAATAAAGCCTATGCTGAGGCAGAGTTGGTATCAGCAGCAAACCCCAGCTGCAGTGAAGAGCTGGGATTGGTGGAGACCAATAGACTGTGACACCTTGACCAAGGTCTGGGTATAGTAGGGTTGGGATGGTTGGCAGAACTCTGAGTAGGTCTTAGTCAGCTGGCTCTGGTGTCATATGATTGCCGTGGGCCCTCCCGAATTTCTGAATAACAGGCACAATATGCTGTAGATAGTGATCTACACTGACCTAAGGCTCTGTAATCAACAGATGGCTCAACATTCAGATGTGGACACAGGCTCTTGCATCACTTGGGGGCCAGTCCCCCGTCTACGTAGTTATGAACAGCACACATCTCTCCAGGCCACTTTAGAGGTCAGGCCTGCTCAGGCTTCCTAAGTCCTCATTTCCATCATGGGGCTCAGGATTCCTGACTATAGAGCACCTCACAAACATTAGCAGTCCCCAAACGGTCTCTTGAGCAGGTGAGGTAACAACACACTCATGTCCTACTTGCACCTGAGAACTGGATAGTAACTTCTGAGGTTACCCAAGGAAGCACTGGGAAGCTGAGGCTGCCACAGTCAAGCCTAAGAGAAGCTGGTCATCACGTGACCAGTCGGGCCAGAAACAGGGGATGTGGGTATTAGGACCTGCTGCTCATTCTTCTCAGAGCCTTGATTTTCATTTCTGTCCTGTCGTGCTTGGAGATCGGGAGTTTCAGATGAGGGTGTCCCAGAAACCCTCCAGTGACATGTGGTCTTTTACTGTGGCCGGTGACACTGTGCCTGCTTTATGCTTTGTGAATAAATTCCAGCTGTCGGTGCTGGAATTCCTGACAGCATTTTCCCAACTGTACCAAGGCGTGGTATGCAGAGTCCTTCTAACTAAAACGAAAGGACCTTCAGGCCGATTAATTGCTTTTCTCTGAGCTGTGGTGAAATGTCCATTAAAGGAACATGATGGTTAATCTCAATGGTCAACTTCACTGGATTTAAAATTTTCTAGGGCCGGGCGGTGGTGGCGCACGCCTTTAATCCCAGCACTCGGGAGGCAGAGCCTGGCGGATCTCTGTGAGTTCGAGGCCAGCCTGGTCTCCAAAGTGAGTTCCAGGAAAGGCGCAAAGCTACACAGAGAAACCCTGTCTCGAAAAACCAAAAAAAAAAAAAAAATTTCTAGGAGACACAATTTTGGGTATGTCTACAATGGTGTTTCCAGAGAGAGACTCTGAGGAGGGAAGACCCTCCCCTGAGTGTGGGTGGCACCATCTCACGGGTTGGGGTCCTGTTCAGAGGAAGGAGGAGAAAACCAGCTGAGCACCAGCATTCCCCCCTCGATATTTCCTGGTTGCATGTACAATGTGACCAACTCCCCAAAGCTCCAGCCACCACCATCAGGGCCATTCTAGCGGCCACACCTTCCCCAGCATGACAGTCACCCTTACACGGTGACCCACAACTGACTCTTGCTTCCATAGCTGCTGTTGTCAAGCACTTTGTCACAGCAGCAGGACAAGCTGCTGAGCCATGCCGGGAGGGAGGGTCAGTTCTGTCTTTCCTGCTGAGAAGGCTGTGACCGTCACAGTAGGGAAGGGATGGTGGTAGGCAGGGCCTGTTCACGACGGGTCGGCTCAGGAAATGCAGACTGATGAACGCTGCTGCACATTTTTCCATTTTTATTCAGACCTGGACCCTGGCCATGGATGCTCCTGCCGACATTCAGGTTTAGTCTTCTTCTCTCAGGGTCTATAGAAAAGCCCTCACAGACACGCCAAAGTGTGCCTCATTAAGGTGCTAGACATTACTTTACCCAGTCAGACTGATGAATGAAATCAAGTATCATGCCATCCCACGACTGAGCCATTCAGGAAGACTGTCCTCTATGTATGAGAACCTAGACCACAATGGTTCTGGTGGGTACCTGTGGTAGCCACTACAGTAAGCACACCTTTGGGAGCAGGAGCTAGCTCCCGGCATCAGCTTTGCAGACTCTGGGAGAGGGGGAGACCCAGGCAGGGTAAAGATTGTGAGGCATGCTGTGTGTGGGACCGCTGTATTCCCATTGTCCTTGGGAACCAGACTCAGTGCAGGGCTCCTGTGCCAGGGAGTCTGGGGCAGGTGACATGACATCTGAGTTGGGGGACGTTTGCAAACATTCACAGTGACAGAAGAGAGATGTAGTATGCCAAGAGTGCCGAGGAGCTGCAGAGAGGGAACCAGGGACAGTCTGGGGTCAGGAAAGGTACACAGAGGTAGTTCTTGCCCAGGACTATATGGGGAAGCTGTCTGGGAGGACTTAATACCAGAAGCCTGCCTGGCCCCCTGTTCTTACCCCTCCCCCCATCAGCTGCCTTGCCAGAAAGCACAGGAGTCCATGACCTCCTTCACAGGACCAAGGTTTGTCTGCAGCACTGCTGTGTAGACCGTTTGCCACCACCACAGCTGCTGGAGGCAAGGGGAAGCCTGGACATGCAGTAGGGACAGCCCGCTCCCAAAGGGGCTGCGGTTTCCAGGAGTGTGGGGCTGCAAGGACAGGACCACGCCTGACCTACAGCCCAGAGTCAGCAAAGGAGATTTCAGACCTTCCAGAAAAGCCTGCAGGAAGGGAAGGGAGAAGGACTCCAAGGAAGAAGCATCACCCCCCATCCCCCTTTTTCCTACCAGCAAGCATGCATCACCCTGCCAGAACAGTGGTTCTCAACATACGGGTGAGACCCCTACAGGAGTCTCATATCAGGTATCCTACATATCAGATATTCATATAAGGATTCATAGCAGTAGTAAAATTATGGTTATGAAGTAGCAACGAAATAATGTTATGGTTGGGGGTCACCCTAACATGAAGAACTGTATTAAAGGGTCACAACATTAGGAAGGTTGAAAACCATTGTGCCAGGGGATAAAGGAAAACAGTGCTTGTGTGTGAGCACAGTTATCTGTGCAGAAATCACCTTGAAGAGAGCAAAGTTAACTGTCTCTTTAGTATGTGCAAAAAAGACCCTTTCAATCAGTAGGGGAAGGCACTTTGAGACAACCCTGGGACCATAGGACTTGGCTGGTGGCCTTCAGGGGAAGAGACCCATATTCTAGCCGCTGCCCTCCAGGGTCTGAATAATATACGCAGCATTATTGCCACCTCTGTGATATTCATTCCTCACGCTGCACCACTAACTTGGGAGAGGGTAAGGCTATGGCATTCGGTAAGCTTTCCACCCCTCAGGGTATTGCTTCCTCCCTCTGCAGCCACTTCCCAGTTTCTTCAGGGTGGACAGGACCTCCTCGGATCTCATGGAGCAGAATTTGTGACAGTCTTAAAAAGAGGTAGAAATGTTGGAGCCTTGGATTTCAGGGTATCACAGCCTCGAGCTCCAGCCTAAGGTGCAAGAGAGAGGAGCTGATGATGGCCACCCTCCATTCTTTCATGGGATGTGACACATTGTGATGCTCCATGACCAACCTTTCATTAAGATCTGACAGGGAAGGGAACATATGGTTCTGCTCCTCATTAAGAGGGCGTCTATCTCCTACTACTATGAGTTAAACCCTCTCCTCAGCTGGCTGGCTGGAAGGGCCCCAGAAGTTAGCGGCTTTACATAGCCTTGGGGCTAGCTGAGGACCAAGTATTGGTGACCATGGCTCCTTGAGGCTTCAAGACATCCCCAGGGGCAAATCTGAACCAGAACTGTGGGTCCCACAGGGGTGGAGGATGACAGGTGTCTGTGTCCATGAAAGGAGCATGTTTGGATGCACAGGACCATGTTGAGAGCCTTTTTACCACACCTACTGAGGGTCTCATAGTCCCAGCTTCTTCTGGGAAGAAGAAGAAACTAAGAGATGTTGGGAAATGCCGTGACCCTGATTGTCATTGGTGTTAGATTCCTTGTGTACTTTGGGCCTTGTGAACTTTGCATAATTCAGGCTTAATGTGCTTCCAGAGCCCAGCAAGTTCCTGAGGCTAAGATCTACAAAGATGGGAATTTTTTAAAGATTCCAGAGCAACAGAATCTGGCCTACAGGGAGATGCGAAGGGTCAATGAACATGCTGTCCTGCTGGGGTGGGAAGAGGAGGAAGGGAGGAGCATGCCCAGATTGGAAAATGGGTACCCTTTCTAGATGCAAATATAAAACTGGCTAGTTCCATAAACACTTTGGTGCATACCAAATTTTACAACTAAGCAAAAGGGTCTCATCTGAAGTAAGAGAGATATGTTTAACAGAGAAGCCACTGCCTGTCTTCACATTCTTGTTCAATCTGTGGTGCTAAGTATGATGAAGAAGGCCTGGTCCCATCTGAACCCCACTGCCATTTTCAGAAGAAAGAACCAGGACAGTCTCGGGGGAAGGCTGCTCTAAAATTCATTGCTCCTCCCGAGCAGGTAAGAGGCGGAGCCAGGGCCTCTCAAGCCTTGATTCCTCTCCAGTTTCCAGTCTCTGGATCAAGCTGGGATGAGGAATTCAGCTGGGGAACAGCCACCTTTACAGAGTAAACCAGGGGACACAGCCTCACCATGAGCACACCAAAGGACCACCAGTCAGCACTCTGCGTGTGTCCCCGCCGGTTCACCACCTCAGGAGCCATGTATTCGATAGTCCCACAGAACGAATAGGCTCTCTTGTCGTGGTCGATGGCCTCCTTGCTCAAGCCAAAATCTAAACATAAGCACAACACACAGCACTGCCTGAGTCTCTGAGCCACAGTCCCATGTCTATGTAGACAGATCCCATGATGTACATCGCTTCTCTCAGAGACTAAAGGGCCTTGTGTACTTTGCCTAATTCAGGCTTAATGTGCTTCCAGAGCCCAGCAAGTTCCTGAGAGGCTAAGATCTACAAAGATGGGAATTTTTTAAAGAGCCTCAAATACCTACCCCCCCACCCCCCAGCCCCACACCATGTGCCTTGTCACAGTAGGAAGTGGTTAACTTCTTGGCAATGAACATGAATTCCCAGAAAGCCTTTCCCATGTATCAGCACGGGGTGACTGCAGGTTGAGGGGCCCAGATGGAGAAAAATGAGGTGCAGTTCTTGCAGGCAAGAGGAAAGGAAGCATGGAGGGCACCCGAGTGGGAAGCAGGTCCTTGGCAAGTGGACTCTGGGTTATAGTACATGTGGAGACCTGGCCAGGACCAGTCAACGGGCAGGACAATGGTGCCCAAATATGGTCTAGAACCTGCGAACAGATTATCTTGTAGTGTGAAGGGGACATGTAGGCATACAGTGCAAATCCTGAGGCAGGGTATTAAACAGATAGTCCAAATGACCTTCAGACTCTGTGTGGAGGCGAGAACCAGAGACCACAGATGCTGGCACTGCAGGGGGAGGGGCTCCATGGGGAGCTGAAGAACTCAAGGCAAGGGATTCTCCCCAGGGGCCAGTCTTGATACCGAACAGCTCCAAAACAGTAAAGCGATAAATCATCTGTTTCTCATAACTTCTTGTAGTAGCCACTGGAAGCTGGGGTACACACGGGCAGTGATGGAAGCCCCTGGAAGCTGGGGTACACACGGGCAGTGATGGAAGCCACTGGAAGCTGGGGTACACACGGGCAGTGATGGAAGCCCCTGGAAGCTGGGGTACACACGGGCAGTGATGGAAGCCACTGGAAGCTGGGGTACACACGGGCAGTGATGGAAGCCCCTGGAAGCTGGGGTACACACGGGCAGTGATGGAAGCCCCTGGAAGCTGGGGTACACACGGGCAGTGATGGAAGCCCCTGGAAGCTGGGGTACACATTGTTTGCAGCTGGGCTGATTATATCAATGCTGCAAGGTTTGGATATAAACAAAGGCAGCTGGGCTGCTGCTGTAGGAGACAAGGCTAGGGCCACTGAACCGGCCCTGTGCCTGCCTCAGAGGAGCATGGGCTCAGGGCATCTAGTTAAAGGCCCAGTGATGCTGAGCAAAGCCTGGAAGGAGCCTTAGGCAGGTGAACAGAGGAGTTGATCTAGAAGTCTGAGTGTGCCCTTGCTGTGAGCACACACACATGAGAGGCCAGCACTGCCTGAAGGAGTCTTTAGGGGAACAGAGGAAGTATTCCAGAAGTCGGAGGTCCCCCTGCTATGTGTACACATGCAGAAGGCCAGCACTTGGGCACCAAAACTTCACTCAGGTCAGAGATGAGACAGGGGGCTGTTAGGAGGTGGTCCACAAATTTATCAGGGCTGATAAGGGAGATAAGGCTATTATTATTATTATTATCATTATTATTATTATTATTATTATTATTATTATTATTATTATTATTATTATTTTACCAACCTGTGATCTTAATATGTCCCTCTTCATCCAGGAGGATACTGAAAGAAAGGAAAGAAAACAGACTTCAGAGAGAGAAATAAAGACAGAGCGCTCACAGTCCCCTGGCACACAGAGTCAGAGAAAAGCCCCATGGAGCTGAGAGGCCCTTGCTCAATGCCTGAGCTTCTGACACGGCTGCATCCTGGGTAGGTTTTCTTACGGCAGTCTGTGTCCAGTAGCCTGGGCCAGCTCAGGAATGGAACAGAAGGGTGTGGTATGAGCCTGGGGGAGGGGAACCAAGGAGCCTGGTCATGGGCCTGCAGGGCTGCGTGTTCTTGAGTCATCAGATTGGAACCCTTGGGCCCCTTCCAAATACAGAAGAGTGGGTTCTTTGACTGTTCTGGCCCATAGATGTCCACAGCCTCTACAGAGGAAATTCCCTGACCCTGGGAACCCTTGGTGCCCAGAGAACCTCTTCTCAGAATCTCAGACTCTCTTGGGGCTGACCTCAGCACTTGGGACCAATCCTGGTCTCTGGTGAGGGCCACGCATAGCTGGGGTTCAGCAAAGGGATTCTGGGCTGCCTGAGGCTTCATCCTGTGATGGAACCTGGGGCCAGCCTGGCAGTACCAAAGCCCCTGGGCTCCTGGCCTATTTCCCAGTGAGCCTTCACATCATGAGCAGACCTTTGGCCTTGCTCTTCCTAGTTATCCCACAAAAGTAGAGAACGTCCCATGATGGGAACGTCCCATCATCTGCTCCTCTCCCTTGCACCCTTGGCTGAGTGGCTCTGCCACCCTGAGACGCGGGGCTCCAGGATTTCTACCTGGTTCTAGGACTGTCATAAATCCTGCTCCATGAGATCCCCGGAGCTACCATTCACCCTAAAGAAATGTGGAAGTGGCTGGAGAGGAAGGGAACGACACCCAAGGGGTGGGGAAGCTGCCCCAAGCCTAGATTTCCACTCACGCAAGGAATTCATAAAGCTTCACATCCATAAAGAACGGGTTTGCCAAGACTGGGCGAGGCGTGCAGAGTGCAGCTGGGGTAGCCACAGCTCTGCAGGCTGCAAAGCACTCTGGTGATGGGAGTGGTGAGGGTCCGTGACACTTGAACTTGCTGTGGTCACCTAGCTGTGCCCTCGGCCACACATGAAGGGTAAATGTTTCTCTCTGTGTTTTTACAACATTAAAACTATTTGCCACAGGTTTAAGAATATCCAGTGTTTTCTGGAAAAGGTTATGGTACATTAATTAAAATGACAAGTCATAATTAAAGAGGCAAATGTTTTCATCTTTGCTTCTCGGTCACACTGAATCTTTGCCCAGAAATGAGCAACTTTTAAGATTCATTCCCAAATAATTCTAATTGGACCACAAAGTCTTTGTCTTTATCCCGTAATTAAATGTCACTGTCTTCAGCTTCAAGAACCATCCCAGCCTTCCCGAGTGAGTGGGGTCCAGGGCCTTGATGTGCCAGAGTGGCTCTGACCACACAGAAGCCTTCCATAGGAGTCAGAGCTGTAGGCATAGATTTGTATAAGGCTCATGAACTCCGTGTTACTTAATGTGAGGTAAACTCGTGATAAGCTTCGCATGAGCCCTGGGAACATGTCACACGCAGCCCCTGCATGAAGATCATCAGAACCCTAAACCCCATTACTTTGCAGGGTAGTTCCTGTCTTCATGGAGACTAGATTAATAGATGACTCTAGAAATGAAAACATTACAGATTCTCAGCCCCCAATACACACTGACCTGGGGACCCTGGCCACCATCCCACAGCTGATCCCTCGAGAGAACTAATCTGACCCATCTCCTAGTTAGCCATCTCAGAAGAGGCTAACTGATCATGTTCCTGGAACTCAGGGCAGTCGCTAGAAGGTACCCAAGCCTGAATGGCAACAGGAGGAGGAGACGGAGAGGCTGGGGATGGGGACAAATGTCTTGTGTGACATGGTTCTTGGTGGCGAAAGCTGCTGGACGGGGGAGGGACATGTGCCGTCAGTCTCAGGCCCCACCTGTCGGGTCACCTGTGTATGCTGAAGAACATGCCTGGCCTCACACATGGGCACTTCGACCATGGTACACAGGCCCTGCATTTGCTGAGCACCTGTGCAGGGTGAGGAGCTGGCATCTGCTCAGTCCTCTTAGAGCTCCAGCACAGGACCCACCCACATGACACTGTGCCCAGCCCACTGTTGAAGTGGACTTGGGAAACAAATCCTAGGTAACAGCCCCTGGCGTGGGCTGGCAGCAGATGCCCGAGTAGGCTGTGAATGCCTTTCTTCTTACTTCTCTGGCTTCAGATCCCTGTAGATGATCCCCAGGCCGTGAAGGTGGTCCAGAGCCAAGGCCAACTCAGCCAGGTAGAACTTGACATCCTCCTCAGTGAACATGACCTAGAGGGTTGGGAAAGGACCACGGTTCAGCTTGTCCCATGTGCTTGTTTCAAAGCACTCCCCAAAGGAACCAGGGCTGTGACCCTGGCTCTCCCACGACACTCTCCTGCCACTCCTAAGGCAGGAGCATCCTCACGGTTGGAGGTTGTGCTCTCATGGAGCTGATTTTGGTCAGCCTTGTGAGGGCAACCTCATCCCACCGCCAACCCGCCCTTACCCTACAATTGCTCAGATTGCAGTTCAACCTGGGCTCCCATCTTATTAGGAATGCTCTGGTGTGAATTCATGATGGATGTTACAATTCAAATAACCAAACCACACTTGTAGAGGTTGAAGGACTACAGAAAATGGGTCTCCAATTTCACTTTTCTCCCTCTCCTGACTTTCCCCTGGGCTGATGTGCAAACTGGCAGCCTGATCACCTGCCGTCTGCACAGAGGGATGCATTCTGCCAAGTACAATGTGTTGGTTGGAGAGGGGCCTGTGATTGTTGGAGTTGGTGCTGCATTCCAGGCCAGTTAGAGTATCGGGACGCCTTGGAGCCAGTGGCCTTCAGAACACTGGCTCACACTGCTTTGCCATGTCCTGCTCATATCTTGTAGTCATATCAGCAGGAAGGCAAGTCCTTACATGATCTTATATATATACATGCACACACATATGGATGTGTTTACACATATGTGCACAGAGGCCAGAGGTTCATCTCAGGTGTCTTCCTTGGACACTTTCCACCTCTTGTTTTGAGACAGGAAATCTCACCAATTTGGCTAGGCTTGGCTTGCCCTGGGATGTCTTGATTCCATACCCTGGAACTGCTCTCCAGTGTCGAGAGGACAGGAACGTGCTGCTGAGCCAGCCTTTGGCGATGGGTGGTAGAGATCCTAACTCAGGTCCTTATGCTTGCACAGGAAGTACTCATTCACAGGGCCATCCCCCCAGGGCCCTCGCAAACCACTTTCACATTTACCACGAGATTCGTGTTGAAGAGACTATAGTTCATATTATCACTGAATTTTCTTTGAAAGCAGACACACAAAAAACTCACATGCAAACTGAGTGTGGCATGGAACCAGAGCTAAAATGAGTGAGCTATGGGACAGTGTGGTGAATGTCACCAGCCAAGTGCTCTCAGCTCCTAGTAAGGACACCTGTCTTGGGTCCTGTGACGTGCCAGCTGGGACCCCTGGGACCCCTGGGACCCCTGGGAGCTAGCCCTGGACTATGGATCCTCTCCACCCCCCCAGCACCCCTCCACCTCTATTCTATTTCCCACATGTGGCTAGCACCTCTCCTCTTGCCAGTGTCTTTTCTGGATGCATTAACCAGTGTTTTGCACAGTTAAATCCCACCATGAGCCGAGTTCCCTTTTATGACTGGATGCATTTAGTACACAGAGAGCCATTATCTCTTTCTGCTTTTCCAAATCTCAGGGTACATCTTGTATAGTTCCCAAATCCACTATTAATCCACTGCCCACAGGTGAGTCCTTGAAAGCAGGCATGGTGGTCACACACAGCAGGCTGCTGTCCAGTGCTCTGCTGAAGGAAGAGAATGCCAGGAAAGGCTTTTCAAGTTGCCACCCACCTCCCAAGACCCCGTATGCCCAGATGTGGCCACTTTATCCCTCTGCAATAATAGGTCTCCCATGCCCCATTGTGAGGAGCTCCAGAGCTTCTACCAATCATTTTGGTCAAGAAGCCCAGCTACAGATTACCTCACTAGATGCTGAACAAAAGAGGAACACAGAAGGTCTGGTTTTCTGAGCTAAAAGAAGTAGAGGATCCCATCAGCAGAGCCCAGAATTTCCCCTACATGTGCCATTGCTGCAGGGCCTCCAGGAAACGAAGGGAGAACAGCTCACAGTCTCCAGGAGCCCTCTCTCACCTGGCCACATGCTCTACCTTGAGCTCCTATCTATCTGGAGTTTTAAGCAAGGTACATCTACTGAAAACCTGGAAAGGCAGAGGGAAGGAGGGGGTGATTTGGAAACCACTGTCACGGGCAAATCAAAAGTTGGAAAAAAGTGAGGAGCATTCCCTCAGCATGCTGCCAGACTTCTTATTCTTTGTACTGAGCCTTACAGAATCATTCAAAGGAGAAGACAAGAATGTTGTTGCTGTGGACAGCATTCTGGATTTCCCCATCCCACAAAGATAGCTCAATGCTCCTCAACTCATGAGGGACATGGGACCTTCACAGTACGATTCTGGAGCATTCTTACTTCAAGTGTTTGTACACAAAACTAACTCTGCAGCTAGAAGCCAATGAAGCTCACCCAGGGAGCAAAGACCTGACAAGATGCTCCTAAACACAAACACACAGGGATGGACCACTGCCCAGAGGAGAGGTTCACATGGCGTTAACTGTGCCTTCCAAGGATGGTAAGTGAGACGCCATCAAATACAGCCATCCCCAAATGTCATCACGAACTTGGTTAGGTTAGCTGTGCAGATCTTACCCTATAGCTCAGGCTGATAGTGAAGTCAAAATCCTGCCTCAGTTTCCTGAATTTCCTGGGTTAAAAACCATGGCTAGTTTTGTGCAAGTTTTTGAAAACTGACACACATTTACCACACATTTGTAAGACATCATATATCACACACTTTCCATCACACTGACCAAATATCACACACCACACATCCTGTACTACACCACACGTTACACACATTCAATGTCCACACCACACATCATACACATACTACCTCGCACGCCCATCTCCCTGGATGCTCTTCCCTTCCTGTTTTTCTAGACAGAAAGTCACCATGGGCTGTAGGGTCACTTACCTCTTTGGAAAGCCTGGTAAAGAGGTCCCCTCCCCGCAGGAAGTCCAGAATCAGGTAGAGCTTGCCCTCGGTCTGAAAGGCTGTGAGAGGAGATGCAGCTGAGCACTTCACCAGCAAACATTGTTCCCTCTGGTCATTAAGTCTCTGCTCTTCCCAAAGCCAAGTGTCCCTTCAGTTCAACAAGGCTGTTACTCTGTAGAGCTGCCATTCATTCAGACAGACATAGCTGACCACCGGGAGGTCAGCCGGCCGGGGACAGAGCCCAGCAGAAGGAGATGGGGGACTAAGTTCAGGGTCTCTCACTTTTGTTGGAGTCTTGGAACTTTCTTTTTCCTTTTCCTCCATCCTTATCCCTTTTAATCTCAGACCAAAAGACTTGGAGAGAGGAAAGTCTGTGTTCAAACGTGTGTCCACCCTTGGCATTATTAATTAGGCTTTGCTCACAGCCGGTCTTATAGGCAGACAACTTGCTCTAACATTGGTGATGGAAGGCGGTTCTGATAGACAGGAAGCACATTTCTGTTCCCTCTATACTCAGGGCCCAGGAGAACCATTCTGGACCTTCTCCACTCTAGTAGTATTGAGTGTTAGGACTGCTTTGTCTGCCTGTCTACATGTCAAAAGAGAGCTCATGCTCTGTGTGAACTTATTGGTAATAACTCA